TGAGGAAATGGAATACATGAGGAGTGATCGTCAAAGCTTTTAGCTAAAACATTTTCGAAACATGGCAACTTTGCCTTCGTTTTCTTATTTTGATTAAACATTTAAGCGTGTGGACTTTATACCTGATCTTTACTTTGTTATGTTATAAATCTGAATAGTATGTTTCTTTGTTTGTTTGTTTGGACGCGCTAATCTTCGGAACTACTGCTTCGAATTGTATAACAATTTTTTTTTGTGTTCGACAGAGAACGGGGCTATAGTTAGTAAGCTATAAAACATTGCGCTACGAGCAATGAGAGTCAAGCAGCTGTAGAAGAAACATGTAATTAATCGATTTCAATAAAAAAAAGAGCAACTGAGAACATAACATTTTTTTTCCGAGAGAGGAAATTCGATATAGTGTTAAGGGGTTATAAATAAAAAAACACTGCTCTACTAGCAATGACAATGTAGCAGCAGTAGAAGAAATATTTTAAATCGACTTAAAAGAATCTAAACCTTTTTTTAAAGTGATAGTCATAAAATGGCTTTGTTGCCATAGGTGGGCCAAGAGGGAATGTCAGATTCGAACTGATTAAAAAAAAACTACCCCGTTCCGTCCATTCCTTTGGGCCGAGGCCGCGAAATATCTATGCGTTTGCATCCGCAAAAAATTGCTCGCTTGTATATAATCCAATTATATAAAATTAACAAAAAATATGTCTAGTAATTTCATACATTTATGAATTAGATAGCATAAACGAATTTTTTTTAAACGTTTTCCCTCATTGGATTTTCTAATGTGTCGAGGGTGCGATTACAAACATACAATTTCACATAAAATTGACACCCAGACCCGGCACAACAATTAGTGGTCACACAAATCGAACCCGCGACACGCTGCACGGCAGCCAGTTGCCCAGCCACCGCGCCAACTGTGCAGTCAAATCAAGCTACCATCGAGCTAGTTAACACATTCAGTGCCCCCGACGCGTATGTGCGTTTCCTCGCACGCACATACGCATCGGGGGCACTGAATGTGTTAAATGATGAAACTTACCTATTAGTTAACATATCGAGTTTGGGTTTTTTTAATCAATAATTATATACCTTCTAATACTCATCAAATAGATGTTTTATCAGAAAATGTTTAATCAAAATTAAAAATTGATTCTGTTATTATAATATTCAATGGAATTCTTTATAAATTATAATTACTTAGAAAATGTTGGCAGAGTACAATTAACAAAGGCCTTTGATGAACTTTTCCTAAACGTTACCAACAAATTAAAAGCTTTATAATTATCATTTTTATGATAAAAAGATTTTTTAAATGTTTCGACCTACTTAAAGTCTTTTTTATATTGATGAAATTTTATGTAATCTACATCATAACGCCGTAAAAATAATCTAAGAGTTAGTGAGCCAAGATTTTTGCGCTGTATCGTTACTAATCATCTCCCACACAGATCCGAAACATGGTAGACAAAGATTTATGCTCATTAAGTTACAGAAGTCACGAAAATTCTATTTTATATTATACTAGTTACTCTCGTACGCTTTCACCCGCTGCTCTATTTGTTCGTAACGTAATGTTTTATAGCCTATAGCGCTCAGGAGCATTGTAGCTATCTACCAGTGAAAGAATTTTGGCAATCCAACCAGAGCGGTTTCAAAGATACAAACTTCCCCTACATACAAACTAACAAATTTGAAAAATTTACCTCTTTTTAATATTAGTATAGAGGTATAGAAATAAGCAAATTTCATTTTTTAAGTTTTAATCCATTCTAGTACTGTCTCTGTTTTGTTTGTTTGTTTATTTAAAAACACACGTCATATCAAGAATAGGAACAACAATTTGTAGAAATCTATTTAAATGCCCAGTCACTACGCTAACTAAAATCAAACTATACAATTTAAAAATCTCTCAATACTAGACACTTAAGAAGTACCTACAGTTTCAAATAATAATCTGACTTCAAACTACATTAAAACTTACAGAGCCTAGTTTAAAAACCTCCAACAATAATTTGCAGTGAACTTTTTCTCTTGAAACTGTAAAAATCCACTACGTTTGAACCAACTCATGATTTAAACTTCATATCAAAACGAAATTATACGTCGTACAAAGGACGGAGCTATGAAAGTTTCTAAACGATTCATATTTTTAGGGAAAATCGATTAAAAAAAGAACACGAAATATCTACCTCAAAAAAAAGTTGACGGCACCTTATATTTGGTCTCAACAAAAATACTCATTTTCCAGTTAATGTAAGTTAGTGTTTTAGTATTTTTATGATTATTCTTAACTATTCTTTTATTTCCAAAAAATAGGGTTTCCTCTTGTGTCATGTGTTTGTTTACAACCATCGATTTCACATACATATGACACCCAGACCCGGAACAAAAATGTGTCCATCACACAAAGAATTGTTCCGTGCAGGAATTAGGCCCGAGGTCGAGGACAAGGTCATCGGTTGCTCAGCCATCGTGTCAACTGTGCAGTCATTTTGATGTAACTTGGACATAGGAAAGTAGAGCTTGGAAGGGTTAGAGGTTTCATATAAAACCTATATACAAATTTTGGTGGGAAGCCGTGTACAATTTAAAAGTACAACCGTTTTCGATTAAGCCTCATCACAAATGCATCTTGTTACTTATTCGATTTATCTCTCTCATCCATCATCTCTTTCGTTCCTTATTTCGTCTTTATATTGTTGTCGTCGTATTTTGTTTTATGCTACTTATTGAATTTTGTCTGAAAATTCGCAAGAGTTCTAATTTCAAAGGCAAGGTTTTCTAAACGCGTTATTGTCGGGTTTCTTTTCGACGATTTTTGCTGTGATCGCCTCCAAGTCTCGACACGTGAAATTCAAATGTTTTAGAACAGGAAAACCGAATGGTAATAGTATAGGATTATTTTTTTGTACCGTGGGTTTTGCTTGTTCCTTATTCCGCCATATGTACTCACTCCATAAGAGAAAATAAGTTTTGCCAAATAACAGAGAAACTCGTTTCCTTATCAAGATTTACAGACAAAGTCAAAAGTTCAATATTCAGGGCAATATACTGTTTATATAAAAACTTTGTGTAATAATGGACTTTAGTATCGTAAACAAATTCAGGAAATTGTAGCTTATTAATATAAGAACAAGGAATATTTTGTTATACACAATGTTAGCTTTACAAATAGATAACTTTTTCCAAGACAGTCGAATAGAGTAAATTAGTATAAATCCATTCAAACTCAAAAATTCTTGCTGCTTTTGGGCATTAGGAATATTTTTTGATTCATTATTTTTTAATCGGATACGTCGGCAAACAATCAGACTTATTACTTAATGGTCAGCAATCGGTGCCACCCATTGACCCAAAGGAGTTACGAGTGCGTTGCCGGCCTTTTGGGGATAAGAGCTTCGAATATTTAAAGAATGGGATGGGATAGGGAGAGTGTGGCGGACTGGGACTTCGATAACCTCATTCGCATGGCAAAATACAACACTGTGGTTGTTTCACGCCGGTTTTCTGTGAGGCTGTGGTATCACTCTAGTCGAGCTGACTCATGCGTGCCGAGGCTTGGCTCTCCCACACTTAAATTTAAAATTGCAAGTGAAGTTACAAAGCAAGGAAATATCTTTTAAACCCCTTTACAAGATCAAAACATATCCTGTCCCATAGAATCCTAGATCAACAATAATCCCACAGCGGCTCAAACCGGCAAAACACAAGACGATTCAGTAAAGCCGTCCGTATTATATCAGATTGTAGATAAGGGCTATATTCAATTGTCCCTCCGTACTATACTGGTTAATTCTGACCATTGCGAGCACCTGTAATCCATGGCATTGCTTGGACATCTATAACCACTGGATGGCAGAAAATCTGGTATATTGCTGTGTTTCTTGTTGCTTTGTCTAGTTCAATTAGAGGGGAATTGAGACGATAGTGTCTGAACTGGAATTGAATGGGCTTATATTAAATGGTGGAGCCGGTTGGGTGAATCGTTTTGGTTAGATACGGAATAGATATATGTGTACTATTATGTTGTTGGTTTATTGTAAGTTTAGTTTAGTGTGCATGTTTAGGTATTTAACTGTTAATAGGCACTGGCTGGATTATATCTATCTATAGGTATATATATAAAAATGAATGGCAAAATATGTTGGTAAGCGCAAAACTCAATAACGCCTGGACCAATTCTACTGATTCTTTTTTTGTTATGTGTGTGTTATTGTCAGAAAAAGATTGTTATGATGGAAAATTTTAGAAAAGTAGAGGGGAGAGTTGGGTGGTAGGGACCCTTTCTTCGTAAGCGAGATGATGAGACCCGTGCGAAGCAGGGGCGAGCTGCTAGTTCAAAATATTTATGGTAATATTCTTACTCGTCAAATTCAATATTCCCAATTACAATGTCGAAAACGATAATTCTCTATAATCTTTTAAGGAATCGCCACATGTTTTACGTCAAATGCCACAGTTATTTCTGAAAAATTATGTAAAAAAAACAAAATTAATTAATCGTCAATATGAATAAGATATTTTAATAAACCATTGTTTTTAGGAATACATTTGAATTGTGAATATGTTGGTTATGAATAGGGGTGCAAAGGTCTTATACCTGATGTCGTAGTGTATCGCATCAACTCTTACCCCAGAAAGTAGCCATTCGAAAGAAAGTACACAGAAAATAATTGTAGGACTCGAGTTACAGAGAATTTACTGTTTTCTTTTGCTTCGGGGTTTGTACTTAAAGGCCATAATCGCGACATTGAGGGTGACGGAATACTCGATACTATACTCGATATCAATTACCTACGTTATTAGCAACCGGCTCCGGCAACTGTAACACTAGCCGCAGAAAAGATTATAAAATAAAATAGAAAAGATTACAGATTGAATAATTCAAAATATTTGTCTTAACGCTAACTTAATCAGTTTTACTATAATAAATTGTATCATCAAAAATGTTCTCTGTAACACACGAAATAGAATTTAAAATCCTTTATCATTTGTTTCAGCTACATCGCTAGTTACTTACGCGGGAGAGCGGTACGACTTTATATTGGAGGCTAACAATGAAATAGACAACTATTGGATCCGGTACCGCGGTTTGATGGATTGTGACGAAGTGTAAGTACCAGTTTCATTACATTTTAGTTTTTTTTTATTAGGGCAAGCCCGCCCTAACCTCCGCAATTGCTGTTAGCCAGGATCTACAGGAGATACAACTATGAAAACAGTGTTCCAGACACTGAAGTTCAGCGCGTCCGTAGGACATGAATGACTGTCTTGGATCCCGCAACGAAATAAATCAAAACATATTATTTGAGGAGAAGAAAAAAGAACGAAATAGTTTTCAATATCTTTTCTTATGTTAAACCCGCCATGCAAAATGTTCTATTGATACACTATAAATTTGCCATTTGGGAAATTATTTCTTGTAGAAAACAGAACATTTACCAACTAGCATATTTTTTGTATGATTTTCGTATAAAATTGCTCATTGTAATATTAAAGTCAAATAGATTTTTTTATGAATGATCAAAAATAATAAACAAATGTTAAATACAAATATGGTAAAATTAATGAAAGAATCTGAAGTTGTAATAGATTATTTTTTCTAGCTTCTGCCCGCGGTTTCGCCCGTTAGCGTATATATAAATATATAAATCTGAGCCAAATCAGTGACTATTTATTTAAAATTGGCATGATTTTTAAAGTGATCTTCACAGGCCAGTAACATTTAACGATATTACAATTTTTAAAACAGATTCACAAAAGCAAAGCAAGTTGGTGTCCTGCACTACGAGGGAGCTATGGATTTGGAGCCACCCGGTGACCCCACATGGGAAGAATTACACAACGAAGGATTGGTAAGTTAAGATATACTAAAAAGATAAAAAAGAAAAATAGACAAATACATGAAAAATTACAAAATAACCTTCATATCTGAATACGAAAAACTAAATATGTATTTGGAATTCCTAACTAAACAGCTTCAAACTAGGAACTTGAATCTATACTCATATTATAAAACTGTACAATTTGCTTCTTTGAACGCCCTAATCACTGGAACCTATATGAATATATATACCAAATCAATTAGTTCTTTATGCTTCGGCACGAATGGGTCGGCTAGACCGGATACCACGGCCTCACAGAAAACCGGCGTGAAATAACCACTGCGTTGTGTTTCGCCGTGTCAGTGAGGTTACCGGAGGCCCAATCCTTCCCCTTCCCCAATCCCTCCTCAATTCCTTAATCTCCAAATCCCTATTCCCTTAAAGGTCAGCAATGCACTCGAAACTCCTCTTGCGAGTGTCCATGGGCGGCGCTGATTGCTTACCATCAGGTAATCCGTCTGGTCGTTTGCCGACCTATTACATAAAAAAAACCACTGGTTGAATTGAAACATTGTTTATGTATTCGTAAGTCCATTTATCGAGAAAGACTATAGTCTATAAAACATTATGCTACGATCTAATGGAAGCGAGCAGCGGTTTAAGCCGCGCGAGACTAACTAGTTATGTTAATATTACTTACATCAAAAGAACAAATTAATCAGAGCAAAGTTCTACTTTTAGAATAAGACCAAAATTATAAAAATTACCTTTAAAATATTCGTCCCAAAAAGTATCACTAACATATAAAAAAAAACAAAACAAAAAAAAGGACACACGCGTAATTCCAAACTACCGTCCATTCAACACCTTGGAAACGGCCGGCCCATGCAAATATTTAAATAATAAATACGGTAAAAGCGCCATATCATTGCATATTCAACACTAGTACCGCCCAAGGTCACATTTTAACCCTATAAAATTGTATCGGGTAAAGTTTCCTATACATCGGAGTACGGTATCGTACCCTTGTGGATCGTAAAAACTTAAGGATAGTACATTCCCTCCATCATCAGATGACAGCTTCCTTACTGTTATCAAAGATACGCATAATAAAGTGATATTTATGGACATCTGTTTTGGGGTTTGGCCAGTTAGAGGGGACTGAAGTTTTATGGTGAAAAAATCTTAGTTTTAAAAGAATGATATAACATTCTTGTTTATTTCCCCGAAGGAATATTATAGAGGAAAGCATTTGAACTTTCTAAGTAAAAGTAACTTAGAATGTTCAAATGCTCTTAGCATTGGTTGTTGAAGAATAAATGGTCTGATTACATATTTATGTATTTCTTCATATCTGTACTGATATTATAAAGAGGTAAAATTCGTAAGTTTGTATTTTTGTAAGTTTGTATGTAGGGGGTAAACTTTGGAAGCGCTGGTCGGATTTCCAAAAATCTTTCACTGAGACATAGCTACAATGTTCCTGAGTGCTATAAGTATAAATCATTAAGCTACGATTAAACGAAGCCGAGCAGCAGGTGAAACGGCGCGAGAGTAGCTAGTTAGAAGATAATTTAATTAAAATCCGACTAGTGCGAAGAAAAAAAAGTATGATGCTCATATTACGTGCAAACTTTTGAGCTACTATTGCAGATTTCAAACTTGAGATATTGATGAATTATACTTGATTGTGTGAAATCAAACTTTCATATTTGTCACCTAGAAATTACTAAGGAATAATATTTTTCCAAAAACATCTTAAGCACGATAAAAGATCAGTGCTCAAATCAATTCGTTCATTGAGCAGTAGATATGATGCTACAAAAAATGCGTATTTTGTCAGAAATACAGTTATTTTATAAAAAAAAATACGCCATTACAATACTGAACTTTAATATTATTTATTTACCAATTTTATTTAATCTAGACACAATTCTAGAATCCCATTTGCAATCACTCGACCGAGAGAGAGAGAGAGCCAATAAACTAATAATCAGATTAAAACTGTATCAACAGAGAAACAGCGTTAAAAGCTAACGAGGTTGACATTCATACTTCAGTGCTAATAAAATCCCTCTTTTTTAACTTCATTCCTACTAACACATCTCTGAAAAGACCAAAAAAACAGACCCCCAATTACGTGTGTCCTAAATTCACGAAACCTTTTTGCAGGTCTTATTCATTCTAACCCTTTTTCATTTTCAAGGTCATCAGATCGTTTAGCAAAATTTTCAGTAATTCCCAAAGAAATGGATCGTTTCATTCTGTCGACAAACTTCTTAATTTACCGAGTAGAGTTTGGTTGTGGCTTGTGGTTCTTTTTAGTAGTTTTACAAAGTTTCCAGAGATGTGGTTGCATTACTAGTATCAAAGTGCAATTGATTGAAGTAGATTATTGATCGCAATGAAGTAAATCCAAATTTTGTGTAACAAGTATCTAATATATAGTCTTGTTGAAGCACGATCTTAATATTTCAATATACGATTCCAAGGCTGGGTAATAAATTTAAGACATTCTTAGTAATATTTATTATGAAGGATGCAACGTAGTTAGTATATGGCAATATTTGGAAGGCTTGTCTTAGAAGGTGTGAAAAGTGAGAGGGTGGTCAATTGACAATTTTTACCAACAGTACGCTTTTCGGATCTGGGTGTAGTTATATAATCCCACACATAATAGGCTAGAAAATTCTTCAGAAATGCTAAAAACAGTTTTGTTTTTTACAAATATAATTTTATTTGTCTTAGAAAAACCCTCTTGTTTATATAATACCAAACAAATTCTTCAAGTTTGAAACCATTGTATTTGCAGAAACAGAATTTCGTTCAAGATTCTATCAAGGAATCTGATATCGATTGTAAGAGGAACATTCCAAATGCTCTTGAGGTTTCAATAGCATAAATCTGAGACAATTTCCAAATACCTCTTGTGGAGAGCTGTAGAACAAAAGTAATGTGCTTTCTAGAGCTGTTATTGTATATTGAGGAGCATTTAGAAAACAGTCCATATTATAATAAGCGTCTACTGCAGGTCCACACCACTCGTTACAGAAAAAGATTTTGTGGTAACACCATAATGAGCAGACGGGTTGGAAATTTGTCAGAGAGCATTTGTGTCTAACTTCTATAAGCTCTTTAATCGAGACTTATAACCTTTATTGCCGTCACCGCGTAACTTAATTAGCTAGTACTATGTACCAATGATTTTTTTCTTTCTAACACTGAGTACGAACTGTGCTGACTCTTTGTAATTCTTTAGAGTAGAAGAAAAAGGAAATACATGAAACAATTTATTTTTAAACGCATGTCAATACTTCAATTCTTCTGTCTCTCCAAGTCAGACTGCTAGTATTTCTCACAAAGAAACAAAGCAACCTTACATTACTGATTCAAGTTAACAATCCAGCCAGAACTAGCATCGTTAAATATGAGACCGTGTGCTCATTAGATAGTGTGCATATTCTCATATTTGGAATACCCAGTGCTCTCGTTAGACGAATATCGTCTGTCAACCACAACGGTCTACCTCGCTGGATTTTCATGGACTGTTCAAATGTCAACGTGCTATAATCGTATTCTCTTATGACCTGAATTTGAATCTAAGAGCATTGTACTGATTTTAAATGTAGGTTAGTATGGTCTCTTCATTGGTTTCGGGACGAAAATGTGGTTGCCTTACTTGAAGTCTCAATTTTAATTTTAGATTGAATGTTTCTAAATTATTAATGGCGTTCAAGAAATTGGAAGCTGAAATAGTGATCACTGGCTTCTCTGTATTACCGATTACAATTATAATTATCTAATTAAAATAGTGGCTGGATATATCAAATCGATTTTTTTTGTATATTAAACACATAACATGTCCAGCTACAACACCAATCAATTTATATATATCAATAATCAATATTTTTATGTCTTGCCTGTCAAAGACAAATCAAGAATATTTTCAACATTTAATTCCACATAGACGACACAGTCCACATAGAAAATCGTGACTTTATTACACCAGACCTTATCGCCATGACTCTTCATAATCAATTCCATACTAAAGCATGTTACTAGCAAAGAACTGTAAGATAATCCGTTGTCGGCAGAATGGCATTAGGCAGGTCACAAAATCAAATCGTTTGCAGATGCGATGAAATTATCCCTTCGGTGTAACGACGGTAGTAGTGAGCTGGCAGTACGCCAGACACTATCTGCGAAGGCTATGCATGCAACGATTAGAATAATGTACTGGTTCTAAGTAAAATATTCTAGAGTTACTATCTGGCTTTCTTGGGAAGATCGATTGGGCTAATGTGTTTGGTAGGGTGTTGTTTATTAGTTCCATCGTGTGTGCGACTTTTGTTAGACGATGTAATTTTATTTTGTTCTTGGAAAATGGAATTTTTTTTTAGTTTTGACACTTAACACATTCAGTGCCCCCGACGCGTATGTGCGTGCGAGGAAACGCACATACGCGTCGGGGGCACTGAATGTGTTAAAACGGTGTTGTAATTAAAGATTTTCTTTGTCTATTTTGCAAAGTTAGTCTTTCTAAATAAATCCAATAACGAGGTTAAAACTTTTCGATTAGGTTATTTGTCGTGTCGAAATCCGCAAAATTTTTTGACCGAGTCGACGTATTAGTATTTTTCGTATAATTTCATAAGACTCAAGGTCTAATAGGATCCACCACAAATTTAGAAGGCTGGCAAGGTTATCAAAATTCATTTAACCTTTTTTGACTTTCCTTTGTTTCCTGAAAATAATACAAGATTCCAAAACTAATTTTAGTTCATATTTTATAAAGATAGTGACTATCTAGAGGCTGCAATACCAGCCATTAGTCTTTTTAAATGGATAGAAATCGCGAGCGTAAGCGATAAGAAAATGGATGTGGTTATACCCATCTAACGTAACGAGCTAAACAGTGTGATAGCTTTATATGTTCCTAGCTGTCATATTATCTATAAAAGCTGAACATTCAGTCCTAAATCGCTACATTAACCTGCATCCATGCTAGTTGAAGATAAGCCACTAACTGTACGTTTCTGAAGTAGTTGCCGCGCACCATAAAATATTAATGCGGATTAGATGGCGCCACCAGACACTTTAGGGTTATATTTTTATGGGAATTGTTTTATGAACGATTCCGTAAGATAGTATAAAGAAGATCTTGTTTGTTGAGTGAATGTGAGAATGTTTTCTAAGATTTTGTGCCTAAAATATTCATAAAGATAGAGTTGAGTCTGTAACTGTATCTGAAGTTTTTTTACACAAAATTTGTTGGAAAATTGATTTTAAGTCTTTACTGTATGTTCTTAGAAACAATAAAATTGTACTTAGTTTACAACTAGCGAATCTTTATCAAATACCTTTGTTTCATCTTTCAGAAGGAACGTTTCCTTGAGTATTCGTAAATTATAAATTCGTTAGTTCCGCGGGTTTGCTCGTGTTGCCCGTAAACAGTGAAACCAGGTCATGGGCTACATGTGTGCCAAATGACATCCAAATTCTCCTTGCATTCATTGCCATTGCATTTCTGATGAAGGAATGGTCGTTGGTAAAACTTCCACTCTAAATCTTTGAGTGAAAATAGTTGTTTTTGGTCTAATTGTGACATGTGTTTTTATCAAGGAGTTGTTATCTGACGGTTGTGCAAGGAGTTTTTATCTGAGATATGAGAATCAAAGCATATTCTTTTACTTGATGCATACAATATTGTTTACTTACATCGTATCTCGATTTATCTAACATAATATAAGAAAAAAATAACAGAAAAAGGAAGTGAATCACTCAGCAAGCACCGTAATTATTTTTTTTTGTCGAGCTCAGACATGGTGAACTTATAAATTGACTTTATAGTCTTAATTTAGTCTAATAAATAATCTTTGATGAGTATTTCACTTCCAATTCATTCTGGGCACAATCTATTAGCAACATCCAAAATTTTATTCCACTCTACTTAATTTGGAGTACTTGTATGGGATTTGTTATCATAAATCTATTGCACTAGGATCGGTTTCTCTTTAACAATCTTCGCATATAAGCATAGTATAGAAATTATATTGTGTAAAATGGAAAATTAATCAGTAGTTAGAAAATTAAGAGTAACACAAGTAAAACGACGAATATAGTAGGAAATAAATAATTAAAATCTTAATTGTTATTCCCCAGCAATTAAACGCTCTCAACAAGGGTGAGGAAGATGAAGAAACTATCAGCGTGGCTGGGATGCGGTCTTTAGAAGGATACGACGATAGTCTCAAGGAAGTTGCTGATTATCAGTTCTACGTAGCCTACGATTTCTATGCGAAGAACAATTCTCATTTTCACAGATCACCTTATTATGGATATTACCAAGGTGAGTAAAACCATGTTTTATGATGCGACTATTGGTAGCTACAAAGTTTAAGGTATACCGTAACTGTAGCCTAAACACACAAAAAAAAATCACGAGTAAATTGCAGGCCGTGTAGAAAATTGTTTCTAGTTTTCCGCCAGCATTCCTAGGCATTTGCAGCATTTGGTTTTTCTTTTATAGAATATTCAAAATAATTACAATACTAAACATTTGATTCAATTGGTTTTAACTGGGATGAAATACGATTTACTCAAAATGAGACAGTCAATTCAATGGATACCTATAAAAATAGTAATAACGATTTTATATCTTTTCCAAAGACAGACAGACTTACTAATGAAGAGGGCGTTAAAATAGCTGCTTTGTAATTAAATACAGCGTATCTAATAATATGTTGATACATAATTCCATACATGAACAAATTACTTTTATAATTAGTATTATTATAATAATACACGAACTTCCCTAAAATGCTTGATGTAATTATTATGGAACGAGGAGGTCCTATTTAATGTACCAACTAATGGTACTCTAATAATTTTGCAATTCATTAAGTTAATAGAAATATCTGATTAAAAGTATTCATGGGACCTCGACCCATTTAATTTTCTCACGAAGCTGAGTGCGATTTTTATTGGGAATTTGCTAATTATACTTTCATTCGATATATTTTTTGATCGGGTGGAGTGTAAAATAGGAAAACTTTAGTCATTATTATTTTGCTGAAGTGAAAATATTTTTCTTACAAGAAGCTTAATTTTTTTAAATGTATTTTTTCCATTACAGTCCCACATAAGGATAATCGTCTGTACACACCACAACTGAACCACATCAGTATGAAGTTACCTTCAAGTCCACTCCTTACCGCAAGACCATCCACAGACAACTTTTGCAATTCTTCCAGTATCGACGAGGCATGCACTGAAGGCTACTGTGAATGTTCCCACGTCTTAGCTGTAAAACTAAACTCTGTAGTAGAAATTATTATCGTCGATGAAGGAGTTACTTTTGATGCCAACCACCCATTCCATCTTCATGGACATAGCTTTAGAGTAGTCGGTCTCAGAAGGCTTGCTAAAGATATCACTGTTGATGAAATCAAGGCATACGATAAAGCAGGTCTGCTTAAAAGAAATCTAAAGAATGCACCGATTAAGGATACAGTTACTGTGCCTGATGGAGGTTACACAGTTATCAGGTTTAAAGCAGACAATCCTGGGTACTGGCTTTTCCATTGTCATATTGAGTTCCACGTAGAAATTGGTATGGCGTTAGTTTTCAAAGTTGGTGAACATAAAGACATGGCACCGGTACCCAGAGATTTTCCTTCATGTGGTAGCTATTTGCCAGATAACATGTTGGAGCATGCAACTACAGAGAAACCTAAGAGTGATGATGTAATTTCTATATCACACTGGTGGCCTGTAGTTTTTATAAATAATACATCAGCTAGTACCAGTGTGCAAGCTTCTGTATTAGCAATCGTATTTAGTATATTGCTATCGACATTTTTAAAATCATAGTTTCCAATTTTAGTGTTATTAAATCTGAATTCTTGGAATTAATAGTCTACGTTGCTGTTGAACTCAAGAATTCAGTCCTCTATTGGAATTTGTACTTACTTATTATTTATTTCATATAAAATGTTAGTTTATTAAATATTTTCTTTGATTCATAAATGAAATAGCTGTTACGGTAAATATAAATTGTAATATGTTTTTTTTTTAAAAGAAATTGGCTTTAATAATGTTGGTTCGGTGTACCCAGCTATGGTTCCACATACTGCAACTTGGGCAATATTAGAAGTAATTGGTGGATTAACAAGAATATCTATGCCGTAATTTTTGTCTTGCCTCATTCAGAGTAATCAAGGTTATTAGCGTTTTATGTAGTGATTGTATATTATAGCATCATCTCTGAAAACATGAACATATACATTATCTTTTAGCATGAGATGTCTGTTCCAAAATGTCTTAGATTTTTCTACATTTTCTTTGTTCATGCTTTTCAACAGTGTGTGAATTATTTGTTCCAATTATTATTTTGTCTATTATTTCAACGCTACTAGCTTCTTCTGTATATCGAATAGTACTTACTTATGAATCATTATAATCATCTGCTTCATCGCAAATATTATTACTTACACGAGATTATTATTTAAGTCTGTGATTGGTTTTAAACGAATCGACCAAAAAATGGTAGTATTGAACATTTTGTAAAAATGTTTAAAATGTAATTGTTAGACGTCGTTGATGATATGTGATATTATTTAGTTTCATAATTTTAATGTTATTGTTAATTTTTAAGTATTTTATAAAGGAAAAATAAGTACACTTACCTTCAGGATATTGTTGTTTTATTTTTTACATAGCTATAATAATTTTTGATATTTGGTATGGTTAGAAAAATACCATATTACCCACTTAAATCGAGAATCAAATACACTTTCAAAGTTCTCGCAATTTGATAAAAATTAAAATATTCATCTCTTCCTATCTCACTAAGAATAAGGACAAGGTGTGACGATCAGAAAAATATAAAGTAGCTAAACACCTGATTAAGTCACCTGACCTTTTTAAATGTCTAAGTATTTTAAAGCAACAGAAACTAAACTAGATCACTACAATCAATCAAAACTTATTTGAAAACACAAAACGTTTTCTACTTCCATTCATAGACACTAATTTGATTTGGGTTTTTGATGCCGAAATTAATTTCACAATTGATCAAATTCCGTTTGTTAATAAAACAGTAGATAATAGTTCCGCTTTGTACGCGTGTGTAATACTGACTGTAACCGCAATATTGAATATTTAATTACACAGAACTATGTCCATAATATTATTTTTTAATGTGGAATCGGACAGCTGTGTTCTCCAATTGTCCTTTCCATCACCGAACCACAAGACAATTGACAAAATACCTAGCTTCTTAGTGTATATTCCAGTCACATGTACAAAGCGTTTAATCATTATCATCAGCCGGAAGACGTCTACTGGCTGGCCATCTCCTTAGTGCTCTTCGTCGAACGAAAATTTGCCACCTGTATCCATTGGACAACGAAGCGTTTCGCTTGAAAATTTTCATCAAATTCCTTGCAAAAGCCCGTGTTTTTCAAAGAGTATATTTAGGTGTCTTCACAGTTCTAGTGAATAGGTTGCTTATGAGTTGGCGTGGTCAGTAGTAGTCGCATTTTCACTTACCACCAGGCAGTAAAGCAGCCAAGCCCATTGTAAATTTTAAAGAAAGTAGGTAAGCTTGATATTGCTTACACACATAATCTTTGAGAAAAAAGCTGTATCTACTTACTAGCTTTGAGGCATATAGTAACTTTATATTCTTCCGCGAGTTATCATATGTTATTTTTGTATTCGGACTTCTTTATATTAAACAAAAACTCCATACGATGTCATAATCCTATGTTTACTGGGACACAGAGATTATTTGGCACACAAGATTAATCTTTCCATGGACATAATTTCAGATTCACCCGGACGTCCGTTTCAATCCGTTAATCTGTGGTGCCCGCATTGAGGCTAATATAATCATTTAGCTGTTCCCTAATTAGATATTTAATTATTAAATGTCACAAAATTTGTTTGGTGGTAATTCAATAAATTTTGCTCTTTCTCTGGTCTTGTTTTGGGGGTTTATTAAAAAGTTGCTGTGAAATATTTTTATGCTGATAAGGGTGATGTGAGTTTGAAATAAGGGGTACAACATCGGTAACTTAAACATAGCTTTAGCTCAACTTACGATGTTTTAACCGGGTTTTCAGGTGTAAATGCAATCATATTTCACGGCTTTGGTTCAGATCAGGAGAGGGAACGAGGTGGCTTTAGGTGACTAACAAATCGAATACTCCAAAAACAAGCAGAAACCCAACAATGCCCTTTTAACTTTCACCTGTGTTAAAAAAGCAAAAAATATTACACACAAATCATTAAAATTGTTAATAATTTATGAAATAAAATGACGTCTTAAATATTATTGTCTCTCAAAAAATTCGAAACTCAAAACACTTTTCTTTATTCAATTCTGCAAATTCAAAAAAAGAAACTAAAAAGAGGTGCGTTCGAAAACAGATCACAGACGAATCGCATCTCTAGGGAACTTTGCCAATTAAGATAACAGGGGAAGGTCTAAATCAAGTCGCAGAAAGAAAGGTTGGACCAATAAATATGGCAGAAAGATGGGCTTCTCCTAAGGGTGGTTGGGAGAAAAATGGGCCTATGTTGTCTGCTATCAGGGATCTTTGCTTGCGTATATTACGGCGTGTGGGCGGTTGTAACACCGAATCGTAATTTCAAACGTTTTTCTGAACGAAAATTGTGGATTACTTAAAGATATCATGCTAAAGATACCTTATGGATAACTTTTAAAAATTGATTAGGTATCTCAACTTTTAAAGTAAAATAATAGCCTATTTTTTATCGTTTTTAGTAGGTAGTTGATTATTTGTTCTTGTGTGATTGAGGGTCAAGCGCAAAAAGGTACCGCGGCGCGGCCTCGGCCTGGAGCAGGTAAATAAACGGGTGTTTTTAGTTAGTAGGAGTCTGGCACTCCTTTTCACCATATCCTGGGCGAGAGAAGTCAGCAGTTGGCTTAAGATGAATGAATCAGCACTGTCAGCATGAGTGCTCACTGCTGAGCAAAGGCATTTTCTCACGGAGACGGTTCACCGTTCATGCTAAGGGCGAATAAGCGACTTCAAACTTATAATTAGAAATGACAAGTCCAGGTTTCCTCATGATGTTTTTACCTTCACCGTCAGTGATGAATGCAGAAACTTATAAAGTATATGCTTCTAAAAAGTTACATTGGTACTTGCCAGGTTTTGAAACCGTGCACAGGAGAAGCAGGTATTTTAATATCTGGTTTACCACGACGGATGTATGTACGTGTGGATGAATAATATATATTTTTTTAAGCGATAGAACGGCAAACGAGCTGTGGAATTACCTGATGGTAAGCAATTGTCGCCACTCGTGGTCCTGCCTGCAACACCAGTGGAGTTACGAATGCGTTGCCGGTCTTTTGAGTTTTAGGGTTTCGGAGATTTAGCGATTGGAAAGGGAGTGGGGATGGGAAAGAAGGATTGGGCTTCCAGTAACCTTACTCATCCGGCGACAACACTATAATAAGACAAACATGATAACAGGACAATATATAAGTAGGTAGCATATTTTCCCCGATTTGTAATTTAGCTTGAGTGCTAAAGCGACCATTCAATATGTTACAATCCGGTGTGACGTCAGCCATCTCGTCCCACGTTTTCTTTAGCCTTGTAAATAGACATTAGCTTTGATAGAATTGAAAGATATTGATTATTTGCTACCATTAGGTGCAGATTGAATGAATGTACGTAATTATTTATGCTAAAATGAACCTTAGTGTATTGATAAAGATGTGAGAAAAATACTGAATGTATTTGGTAGTGATTTATTTGAAGATGTTTCGATGCTCTTGTGGAAGATAGTTATTATTGATTTGATTAATTATTGCTTATTACACACATTTTTTATTAAGTGACAAAAAAAATTCTGAAGAAAAGATCTGATTTTTTGAATGACGTTATTTATTCTAATTTAATCCTCTACACGTGTTGTCTTTTTAATGATTTTTTTATGTAATTTTGTAGAAATATTGTGGATTCTCTGAGGAAACGTCGTGATGGCCGGAAGGTTAAGGCCCGCTTCTCATGCATGTATGTGCAGCAATGGGAATTTTTCCGAGTTATATGTACTTTTTATGGTCATTTAAACACCATTGACATAAGGTGAAGGAAAACATCGTGAAGAAACCTGGATTAATATCTAATTATAAGTTTCGCCAATCCTTATTGAGCAAGTGTGGTGATTAATTTACAAACCTTCTCCATGTGAAAAGAGGCCTTTGCTCAGTAGTGTGAGATATGCTCAATGGTGTGTGTGAGGAAATAAATAAAATAAAATTTGGATATAAACTGAACCTTTAATTGGCATGTGCGTTACAATCAGAACTTTTGAACAGTGAGATTTCATAGTCAAGGCTGATATCACACAGTTTGTAGTTTGCGTCCCATTTCAATAAATTTGACTGTACTATTAAAAGTTATTTTTATTTATCTGTTGTTCGATTTATTCACGAAAAGAATTCTAAAATTTACATCAGAAATAAAAGTGAAGCTAATGCAATTGAAATACACTTTCTTTGTAATATTTTTTACTAAACAACAAAGCCAACCGTAATTAATATTTCAAAACACAGGACATTAGCAAGCGACACAATAATTATGTCTCATAAACTCCTTGGTAGACCAAAGAGATCCGTTTTCTTAAAAAAAAGAAAAAAGGTGACAATAAATTCCCGCCATTAAGCTTGAGCGCGGCTTGTTACAATAAATAATGTTGTAATTAATTGTCCTCGTTAGTAAAACAGGATATTGAAAATAAAATATAATGAAGGAAATTAAAATGGTTGACACCCGACTGTAATGTGAGACGGTTGGAAAAATATGGACTTTATTTACTGAGGTGACAAGGACATTTATCATCGGATTACATTTTTTTAGGAAAATATGTATCACAAAACAATGCTTATAACCAAATTACACTTCTAAATTACAGCTGACTGAATTGTTTGTTTTGTAGTAATAATCGTCTGAGTCAACCTATAAGTGCCCACTGTTGAGCAAACGCGTCTTCTA